TAAAATTTTTTAAAAGTTGTAATAAAGTTTTTGAAATAAAGCTATTTTCTCATTACTTTTCAGCCACCCCACGTATTCACTAAACATTTCAATAAATGAATAATTATTTAAACAAAAGATCTGGTATATTAATAAAAAACACCGAAAACATATACTATGGCTAAGATACTTAAATGTCCAGGTTGTGATCGAGAAATAAGAACCGGTAAAACTCGAGATCTTAATAAACACATGAACTTAAATGGAAACCTTTGTAAAGGACAATGCCAACCAGCTTTACGTATAATGCAAAATGTAGGAAACGTTACCCCAGAGCAAAATACACCTCAAACTGAAAACGTTACTCCAGAGCAAAATCTGCCATCAACTCCTGAAGGTGATCTCATATCGTTTGATGAAAACCCACCAACACTTCAGCCGAGAGAGGCAAGTGTGCCGGCAGTCGACCTCCAGATAAGAGAATCAGAAATGAGTCAAAGACTCGAAGCTCAACTTCCTCGATACTCTGCATCATCTAGTTCAAAGCAAAATAGCATGAGTTACCAAGATAAAACCATCTTAATTCATAAAAATATAGCAAATGGATTTGAGTTTTATGATGGGAAAAGAAAATGGTATGGAGTTAAAGAAGATTTTTGCGCATTACATAACAAATATCATTTTATTAAAGCAAATAATGGAGAAACAATTATGGAAGCATACAAAAGAATTAATGATGAGTCTGAAGCTATTGCTAAAAAAACTAATGGTAGAATTGATATGCGTAAATCTGGAAATTATACATTAACAACTATAAAATTTTCAAAGAAACCACTTTAGCACCCCAAAAAAGTGAAAAAATAAGTGAACAAGAAAGTGCATGGATAGATTTAGCAACAACTGGTGCTCTAATATTTGCAGAAAGATATGAAGGAGAAGCTAATCAATACGATGTAAATTCAATGTATATATTTGAAATGATAAAAAAAGATGCATCATGGCCAATTGCACCAGGTAAGTTTCATACTATAAACTCATCTTTTACAGAAAAATGGAGTAAATTTCCATATGGAATTTATAAAGCAACAATAGAAGGAAATCCTCCAAAGAAAAGTCTTCAATGTACAAGATATTTACGTTATAATCCACATGGAATTTACACACATTATGATTTAGAATGTGCGCGAAAAAATGGATTGAAAGTAACATTAATGAATATATCACCAAATGCGCTTATTTACGAAAGAAATGTACGTATAACAGGAAAAGACATGTTTGGTGAATGGGGTAATATATTATACAAAATTAAAAAAGAAGGTGGAATAGAAGGAAAAGTTAGTAAAGCATTATTAGTTTCATTATGGGGTGCATTATGTGAGCAAAGAAATGGACAAAATTATGGTTTACATTCACGAATAAAACCATTCTTATTAGCATCTGCACGAAAAAGAATATCAGAAATTGTGAAGCCACTAGGAGATCAAGTAAAACGTATACATACAGATGGCTTTATTATAGCTGGAAAAGTAGAACTTAAAACGGGAATAGAAATGGGTGAGCTAAAATTTGAGAAAAATGGAGTTTGTGTAGTAAAAAATTGTATATCAATTACATGGAAACCGTCATATCCAGAAATTCCAAATTTGATTATTTTCAAAGAAAATGAGCTTCGCTCTACAAATAGTTTACCAGATTTTGAGAAAATACAACAAGATAAAAAGCAGAATACAATATTAGATACAGAGTATCCTGCTTCACAGACAGTAAAAAGGAAACTATCAAAAAAGTCTGATATAAATCTTCCGAATGAAATTATAATAGAAATATTTCAACATTTACGAACACAAAATAAAAGATTATGTGGTAATAATGAATTATTGTTTCCGGTTTTATATGTTAACAAACAATGGAATGAATGCGCAACATATTTAATATGGAGAAGGATTAAATTATATAGATATAATATTAGAAATTTTGTCGAAATAATAAAAAAGAAACCATTACTGAATGCAATAAAATATATAAAACAGATAGAATTCGAAAGAATAGATAAATATTTTAATATGAATGAATTTCTATTAGAAGACATTGCAAGTATATGCCAATATATAATAACTATATCATTTAAGGATTGTGGTTGGGGATTTCTTAACAATAGTTCACTAAAGATAACATTGGATACGTGCAAGAATCTAAACCATATATTTATCTATGGAAGTAATCGAATAGCGCCAAAAACTGTCTTAAGTATACCAGAAAAATGTACAAGTATAAAAACTATAAAAATACAAAATTGTGAACGAATAACAGATAAAATAGTAAATCAATTATTGAGCAAATATCCGAAAATTGAAATTAATAAAATAGAAGTTGACTCACGAAATGAGGATGATATTGCATCTCAAATTATAGAAGATATATTTGACGAAGACTAGTTTATGGTAATAGATGAGTAAGTTAAAAAACTCATTAGAAGATAACTGCTTTTTTTTCTCACATGTTCGAAAATAATCTAGCTTTGAGTAATGAAATTATGAGAAGGTGGGATAATAAAACTCATATTGAATAAATTTATATTATATAAAACAAAATATAGAGTAAGTATAAACCAAGTATGACAGACAATAGTTCAAGTTTAATAAATGAGCAGGGCTCAGAGTTAACAATGCAGGAAGCTATTACATGGAAAATGATTGAATCAGCACAAATTAAAATAATAAAAGAAGCCTTTCGTCTTCGATATAGAAAAGATAGTAAGCTTATTAGTGAATATGCTGGATA